TGAGTGCCGAGCCCCGATGCCTGGTGGGGAGCACTGGGGGGCTGTGGGGTTGGTTGTTCTTGGGGATGCTTGGCGTGGTCTCTACCCACAGCCTTCCTCTGGGAACTACCATCTCCAGACCCCTTTTTGGCATTTTGTAACTTAAAGGGCCTTTAAAAAAATCTATGTGGGGAGGGGGTGCCCCGTGCTAGAGTCCTCCCCAGCTCCATCCCCGACTCCTTGCCTGCCCTGACCATCTCCCCTGTCTCCGCAGAGCCTCTCGCCCCAGGAGCGGGCTGCGTACAAGGAACACACTTCCAACGTGAGTATCCACCCGCCACCGCTGTCAGGGGGACACCAGGGGCTTGGGGCTGGGCTGGAATAACCCCTGGGTGAGATTAGGCTGTGCGGGAGATGAGCCAAGCTCAGCAGAGCCCCTTAAAGGGATTCACCCCCGTAGCAGCTCGGCAGTGGGGTTTTCTCCGTGTTGGGCACTGGGAAGGAGCCGAGCTGGAGCCCTGCAGCTCTAAGTGGTTTTGCTGTGTTCCCCCCCCCTGCAGAAACGCAAGAGCATAGGGAAGATCCGGGGCCCCAACCCCAAGATGAAGCCAACGATGCAGTCCAAGTCGGTGAGTGCATGACGGCCGTGCTCCGCACTGGGGACACCCAGCGCCCTCCTCCCTGGGAGAGAGCATCCCCTGGGGGACCCAGACCTCTTGTTCGAGGCGTCCCTGGTGCTTTCTGCTGCCTGCCCTTTCCTTGAGACAAAAAACCAAGGGCCTTCCCCAAATCTGTGCTCAAAACCCACCCAGGCCTGATCTTGCCCTCCTGCAGTCTACGACATCCCCATGCACCCACTCCGGGAACCTTTTTGGGGCCATTTGTAACAGAAATGGGGAAAGGCTTCCAGGCAAGGTGTGGGGTAGGAGCCACCTGATCCCGCTCGAGGGATGGAGGAGTCCAAAGGCTGATGGGCAAGGATGGGGTGGTGCACCCATGGGTGCTGGTGTCCCAAGGCACCCAACCACAACCAACCCCCTCCCACCCTGCAGGAGTCAGAGGATGAAGACGAGGAGG